GTTTAGTAGGATTAAAAATGCTTAAACATTTATATCATAAAGAAAACATCCACAGTTTCACTAGATAGGATTTTTGTTTATAAGGGATATAAACTCACATGCTTCAGGGCACAAGCCAACTACTAAATAATAAGAGTAAGGAAGAAATGTTCCCGGTGAGCGGGTTATTCCATTATTGTTTACTGTGGTGGTTCCCAAACTTGTTCCGCCGCTTGTGCAGGGAAAGCCCCTGGCGGGCCAGGCCGGTTTGTGTAACCTGCCGTGTCTGCAGGTTAGGCCGATCGCGGCTCCCAGTGGCCGCGGTTCGCTGCTCTAGGCCAATGGGAGCTGCTGGAAGCAGTGCGGGCCGAGCCGCCGCTTCCAGCAGCTCCCATTGGCCTGGAACAGCGAACCGCGGCCACTGGGAGCCGCGATTGGCCGAACCTGCGGACGCGGCAGGTAAACAAACCGGCCCGGCCCACCAGGGGCTTTCCCTGCACAAGCGGCAGATCAAGTTTGGGAACCACTGGTCTACTGCAATGTTTCTTGCACCTTCCTCTCAAGCATCCAGAACAGGCCAATGTTAGAAACAGGATTGTGGATCACATGGACCAGGGGTCTAATCTACAGGGCTGAATGGCGGTTTTTGAAAGCTTGGGGCAAAATCTGAAAATGAGCCTTCTCCCCCTTACAAAAAAAAAAAAAACAACTGAGAGGAAGCCAGGGTGTGGGAAGGGGTTGGAAAGCGAGCCTTCCCCACACTCATCCTGCAGCTCCTGGGAGGCTAGGCCTGGCTCTTCTCATTATGGAGGGGCAGGTAGCCAGGCCAAACCCAAATGGCGCTGTGGCCCTATGCGCCAGTTGCAATGACACTCACTCAGATTTGGCTTGACCACCCCTCCTTTGTGATGGATGAGCCACTGGGCCAGACCTGAGTGTTGCTGCAACCCCATATACCAAGTCACAGTGCCACTCTGTTTGGGGGCCTTCTCAAACAAGGAGCCAGGAGCAAACTGCACCTTTTCCACCCCATACCCTCTGGGTGGCCTGGCTGATCTGATATGGCAATTTCTATATCCCTATTATGCTGTACATCTTTATGAAAAAAACCAGTGTTTTAACATGTGGGTTTTTCCCCTGTTCTCATTTAAAGGAGATGTAGGAAAGCGATGCTCCCATTTGGGAGCATCCCTTATACAAGAATTAATTTATGTAAAAGTACTCACGTACAGCCATGATGCTTGTTTTAATAGGAGAACAGAACATTATTTATTTGGGGAAGATTTGAATTGTGAAGGAATAATTTAGAGGTTAGTCTGCTTTCTTAAATCATAGTTTCTGGAGAGCTTTTATTAACTTGTCATAAATTACATATGAAATATTACTAATTTACTTTAGAGATGCAGAAATTTTGATGAATAATCCTAAGAACTGAAAACCCATGATCTCACCTATGAGGGAGCCACTTTTGCTAACACCATGACATGTCTGGGAAAATTGAGTCTCAGAATCGTGATCAAACTGTTGTATTTTATGTTTTTTGTTTGTTTGAAAACTGGGAAACTGCTTCTGACTTTACTATCACAGGCAAATTCTGTTATCTGTGTGCTACATGTGACAAATCATACATTTTTAATGGCTTTTCCTTCCAACATTCAGATGAAATTTCCACCTAGTAAAGTAAATGTGAACCTCGTTCTCTTCTATCGTTTTGTAAACATTTTTTTATTGCATTAGTCAGTCATGTTAAGAAGATAATTTCTCCATTAAACTCTTACTTAAGAGCACAGGCGACATCAGAAAAAAATGTATTGTTACAGTGGACTTTCCCTGCATTCCAATTATTATTTAAAATAGAAATACTTTTTTTGGCAGACTAGTATATCATCTCTCAGTATATGTTATTACAAAGGGTGTATTTGAGTTAAAAGCACATCAGCCTGCCTGAAAACTTCACTCTGTTGTTTTCCCCTCCCTTTTGAGAGTCAGGTAGTGAACTGAACTATTGTTATAATGATACTTTGTAGTTACAGTGAAAGAGTTTGTAATTGCCAAGTTTTAATAAGAAAATTTATCAAGTTGCATTTTAATAATTTACCTCATACAGCAATGTATCTGAGTTGCCTAATTATCAGAGGAGCAGATGCCTTTTTTGCAGTTTCAGCTGTAATGGAGAGGATTTGGGTGGAAAAAATACAAAGCTTAGTTTTAGCTATGTTAATGTAAATTGTTGGGAATACATCCAGGAAATGATGTCAGCAACAGTCTGAGGAACAGAGAAACAGGCTGAGGTCTGGGCCTGGACTGAGTGAGATAGTGATTTGAGTCTCATCACATGACAATGACAGTTGAAACAAAGTATGTGTATGAGGTTATCTGGGTACATCTACAATTGTAGATCTAGAAGAGGAGCTCACCAAGAACAGAGTGCTGTGAGATACCCACTTATATGGGGAGAGGAGAAATCCAAATTCTTGGGGTAAAATCCTGGACCCATTGAAGTGAGTGGAGTTTCCCATAGACTTCAGAAGAGCCAAGATTTCACCACTGGTCTCAAAGGACTCAAATTAAATAAAGGCCCCATTTCACTTTACTGATGCATCATGTGGTTTGAAAGTTTTGAGGCAAAGGAAATAGGAATTTCTTTGTGGCACCCTCTAATCTTCATATATTGGGTATTAGTAGTAATATTCAGTGGCTTTCTGCTTTTAATGAATGGCAGATAGGAATTCATTTGGGTTCTAGATTCTTTTTCCTTCAAGATCAGTTGGCCATTAGTATTTAATTTTTAAGTACACGTCAAAAAATCCTATATTCTCATCTCTCAATAGCTAACTTCAGTGCATTTCCTGCTAATCTTCCCTCCCCCACCTCGCATATGACATCATTCAGGGCAGGTAAAAGGCATATGTTATGCTCCATTTCTAATTTTAAGGAAGCAATTTGAATATAAATTGGGGATACCAGCAATCTCAGTTGTCACCTCTAGGTGATTATTTTGTCAGTATTAAGATCGGTATAATTCTGGAATTTGCATTAGCTACTAATTTTTTTTCAGTATAGCTTTTGGACACACTATCAAGACTTGCATCTGAAGAAGTGAGGTTCTTACCCACGAAAGCTTATGCTCCCAGTACTTCTGTTAGTCTCAAAGGTGCCACAGGACCCTCTGTTGCTTTTTACAGATTCAGACTAACACGGCTACCCCTCTGATACTTGACACCATGCAATGCAGAGTGATTAGTGTGTTTTAATTCCCCACCCTAGCTTATTTCTCAGTCGCTTCCTCATGAAGACAAGCCCTTACTGTAATAGTTGCACAACAGCTTCTTAGTCCAAATGCAAGCCCTGATGCTGAACACTACAGATTTTTCTCAGATGAACAAACTAGAATTTATGAGCTATTGATGTCTGTAAATAGAGCAGTGTAACAGTGTACTGCATTTCAAATGACTGAGTTACCAAAGACTAGCTTCCATGGCTTCTTTCACCATCAAAGTTCAGATTTGGACTGAGATTTCTGATGCACCTTACACAATATAAGATCTTCAGGGTCCAATCTAAACTACCTCCCACCTGCATTTGGTCTACCCAACTCCTATAAAAACAACACTCATCCCACCTCAGATATATAGAGAGTAGAAAAGCTACAAGAGTAGATGGCGATCTGACATGGAAGGAGCACAAATAGGCAGGGGAGGTAGGGCATATCTGTGGTGCAGTCCCAGACTGCAGAGGGAGATGGAAAGAATAGATAGATTGAGCAGTGAGGAGGAGTTAGAGCTGGGGTGGGCAAAGTTTTTGGCCCGAGGGCCACATCTGGGTATGGAAATTGTATGGGGGACCATGAATGCTCACGAAATTGGGAGTTGAGGTGTGGGAGGGGGTGAGGCCTCCGGTTGGGGGTGCGGGCTCTGGGGTGGGGCTAGAAATGAGGAGTTCAGGGTGTGGGAGGGGGCTGGGGGCGGGGAGGGGAGGGGAAGGGAAGGGCTGCAGGTGCAGGCTCTGAGGTAGGGGTGGGGATGAGGAGTTTGGGGTGCAGGAGGGTACTCTGGGCTGGGACCAAGGAGTTCGGAGGGTGCGAGGGGGCTCTGGGCTGAGGCAGGGAGTTGGGGTGCAGGGGGATGTGAGGGCTTTCACTGGGGGTGCGAGCTTTGGGGTGGGGCTGGGGAAGAGGGGTTTGGGGTGCAGGAGGGTGCTCTGGGCTGGGACTGAGGGGTTTGGAGGATGGGAGGGGGCTCGGGGTGCAGGCTCTGGGCAGCGCTTACCCTCACTTAAAGCTAAGCAAAGATTAAGAATACTGTGCAATATCAGTTCAGCAGAACTATTTCAAAATCTTGGAACTTTGGTATGTTTCGATAGATCTGATGTGTTCCAGTGGGTGGGTTATTCCCAGTTTCACTTCTGTTTTGCTCTTCATTGAGACGTAAGCTGGAACAGCAACAGTAGGCAGCAGTCTAGCTAGGAAGCTGTTTCAGTGAAATAGTATGAGACTGGGTTCATTCATTGCACAACTGTCACATATGATCCTGATGTGAAAGAGCTCGTATCCTGTCTCCTTCCCAGAGGTACTCAATGTCATTCTGCTAGTTTGAGTCCCAGCACTAAATACAGGGCAGCACTCTAACAATGCACTTATGAAAAACTACCTAAACAAGTGTGAGCATTTTACTGGATAACTCCCAAAAGCTAGTAGTTTCAACAGGTGGGTTGTGGGTGGCTGGGTATGTTTGGAGTTGCTGGGACCTTGCTTACAAAGTTTTTGACAAACAGCTGCAAGTAGGATGGGACAAAACAGATACTGTAAGTATAGCAGTGCAGTAGGAGATTAATCACTCCATTGAGTCTAAGCTGGGAAGTTTCCAGCAGGCTGTATTTGACAGGCCCTTGTTAGAACTTTCATATGTTGATTTAGAATGATCTTTGCAAAACATTGGATTGTTCTCTGGAACTGCGGGGGTAGAGTCCAGCTTTTTTTTTTCTCTCTCTGCTAACATTTTCATCTTCTTTCTTTCCTCTAGGTGTGTGATGTAAAAGCAGTGGGCAGTCCTCGGGCCCTCCCCCACACTATTGTAACGTCATGTGCCAGTATGAATATTAAAGCAGAAACACATACTTCAGTATTCAGCAACCAAAGGAGAAGCTAAACACTGAGAACAAATGACTGGAGTGCTTGCAAAACTTTGGGCAGCTAACTTCTTCTCCTCCTTCCCTGCTATTGTGAAACAGCTGGAAAAGCAGAACTGAAGCAGCATTTTTTGTGGATATTTTTTCTTTTTTTATTTAATTTTTCCCCTTTGTTTTGGGTTTCAGACTCTCAAACTGCACTGACCGTAAGCACTGGACAGCAATATGTGTCATGTCATTGTAACTTGTCGCTCAATGCTGTGGACACTCCTGAGTATTGTCGTGGCTTTTGCAGAGCTCATAGCTTTCATGAGTGCAGATTGGCTAATTGGCAAAGCCAAGCCTGTGAGCTCTGAAGATGTGGACAACAGGACAGGAGGCTCACAGGAGCCTTATCATCCAACTTTGGGCATCTATGGGCGTTGCACCAGAATCTCTCACATGCAGGTTTCCAAACGAGACACGCTTTGTGGGCCCTATGCAGAGAACTTTAATGAGATTGCCAGTGGGTTCTGGCAGGCTACTGCTATTTTCCTAGCTGTGGGGATCATGATTCTCTGTGCTGTGGCATTTGTGTCTGTCTTTACTATGTGTGTGCAGAGTGTAATGAAGAAAAGTATTTTTAATGTCTGTGGGCTGCTACAAGGGATTGCAGGTAAGTGTGATTTGACAGCAACTGAAAACTTCCCCAACTATTTTATATATAACTCTTCCATATGCCAGTGTTTAGGAATTTGTCTTGTTTGAATAGCTAATCATCATGTAGGTGGATTAAGGATTGCACTGTGCCAAGGTGAACAGACCAAAGTTTCCTATATTGCTGTTCAAGTCTTTCTTCTGTCTGAAAAGTGTGTTCCAGTAACAAGGATTTCTCTCCTTAGCTTTGCTCTGTGGTGTTAGCAAATGCTGGCACCAACAATAGTGTGTCTGCCTCTCACTCCTTTAATGATTTTTCCATTAGTTCTGAAGGCAGTTCTCTGTATCCATGTCTCTCTCACTTCGGGGTCGTGATGAGAGTAAATCCCAGGCATAGAGCTATATTTGCATGCACGGGCTTATCCAAGAACACAGTTTGACCCATGGTGCTTTCTGGAAATAAGACCCTTCTTCATTCATCAGGGAGTTCAGTTGCTTTTGAAGAGGTGATTTTACCTTTTCACTGCCTAAGTGATGGTCATTTGAACTGAACAAATGAAGTGGCTTCTGGTGACTTGTCATTTCTAAGTTTCCTGAGAAATCTGATCAGATATTATTCAGTTTTATTGCATATTTCCTGGAGCGTAACAAAAATTCTGTGCAGTGAGATCAAAAAATGAATGCTAAATTCCTCCCTTTCCAATGGATGCTAGCTAGTAGTTCTGGGAGCTTTCATTGATAAGGAGTGTAAAAACCACTATCATGTGAAAGTTTTTGTATTATACACTCTGCTCTGATCATTTCAGGACAGAGGCTATCTTCAGATATAACCATAAAGACCTTCATGGATCTACTTGGGAGTCACCAGGGTGGCAGCAGGAAATAGGATATGTACAGAAGTCTTTTCTTCACCCTCTGGGCTGTGCTCTCAACCAGATATGTTCAAACCATAGAAAAGGGTTTTGTTCAAAAGAAGGTTGGCATTTCAAATTGATTCTCATTTTAGGCAGACCAGTTTGCCTGAATGTAGTAAATGCCTATGTAGCCAAACAGTGTCCTGTTGGCTGCATGGTAAGAGGAGATGCAAGAGTGCAAGTTTAATTCTTTCTAAAGCTAATAATATGTTGTGCTCAGTTGCAGGCTAGTTTATGCCTAGTAGCAGGGTACATGGGAGTGTTGGGAGTGTGTAAAGAGCCTTCCCCTGGCTGCATGCAAATGAGCTCCAAGACGCTGTAAACCTAGCTAGGACTCATGACTCCCCAAAATGGGGTGAGGAGAAGGTCAGGCCTGGCAGCAGCCAGCAGAGCTGTCTGAGTACAAGTGCAGCGCGCATTGCACCTCGAAGTGGGGTGCTGTAGTAGCTTCCCCTGCACTCCCTGGAGATCCAGAATAAAGGCATCATGCTTGCTTCACACTACCCGCAGTGTAAGGCTGTGCCCTCTAGGCACAATAGAGCCCTAAATTGGCTCTCAATTCACCTGTTTAGATGGTGGCATACAACTAGCAAAGGGATTTTTTTACAATGAAAACGGCACCTCTTTGGTCTGACCACTCCGTTTTGGAAATTCACCATCACAAATGCAAAAAATATACAGGTTTGAATGTCAGAGCTGTAGCATCTCATTGTACGTTTTAGCTTTTTACCTTTTTTAATTGCCACTTATTTCAGAAATTAGCAGGTCAACTGTAATTTTGCTGGGCTGATATTCCCTTCGTTTTACAATGAGGTGAATATTTATAAAGATTCTAATTTCAAAACTAGTAGGAGGCAGATTCCTGAATCTTGAAAGACTGTTCTGGACTGGAGACCAGTTCTACTTGCCTCTGAAAAGGGAATATGAGAAAAAGAATTGTATGTTTTATAATTGAACCAGCTGTGCCTTTAGGAAGAACTATGGTTTCAAGAATTGAGTTATCTGATGGGTAAAGCATTTCTCATGTGTTAGGGAAGATGTCAGTCCCTCTTTTTGAAAAGTGCTATGAATGGAAGCACTTCCTTCTTATAGTGTAGATAAATCCACATAGCATGAACCAGGGTAATTGAAAGGTCACATTATTTAAACTGTTGCTATGGTAAAGGCCCATATAATTATTTGCAGCCAGCCATCTTGTGACTAGTGATTTGTTCTCTCAAGATTAATTTTACTGAATGCATTGCTGCTTTGTGCCGATAGTATTGCTGTATCTGGATGGCTGAAAATGTTTTGCTGATGACTTGTCACAGCTGTGAGGTTTAATTTTCTCAATTCCTGATTTTGGAAAATATTTAACCAAATGGTTCAAGAAGGACAGCTGTCAGCATGGTTGAACTTTAAGTAACAGAATTTTAACAGTATTCCCACATCTAGAGTAATACTGCAGCTATCAAAGCTCGTAAAGGACAGCCATGCATGGTCCTGACTCCTTGTCTTAAGTTTTCTGATCTTTCAAATGTGACTCTGAAAAGAAGCAGGGGGAATAACGTTCATGAAGTAGCTTTGCTTTTCTGTGTGTGTGTGTGTGTGTATGTGTGTGTGTGTGTGTGTGTGTGAGAGAGAGAGAGAAATTTGCAGTTATGTAGTACATCTTTTCTTCAAAGATGTGATGCTCTTACTTCAGGTTCCAACCACAGCACAAGCATTTACAGGAACTGAGGATCTAGCAGACGTAATCACATTTAAAATCTCTATATCTTTGCTACAAGGACTTAATGTAATTAAAACATTCTGCAAGTTAATCTATTCCTGGAATTCATCATGAAAAAAAACAATAATGGACACCGGATGTATCATTTCTGTCTAACATCTTAGGTTGTGACCTGGGAGTTGTCTGAGGTGAAATTGTAGATTACAAAAATGCATCTCTTCTGTTATGGCATTGGTTCAACTTCTGCCCTTGGACACATGTCTGGAGCTCCTGTTTAGGTCAGTGGGAGCCACACACATATCTAGTTTACAGAGAGTTTTTGTTTGTTGTAGACAATCAGAAGTATAAAGCTTAATAGAAAAAATCTGCTTCTTTAAAAAGGCCCTTTCAAAATTTTGGAATTCCTTTGTAGTGGAGTAAGTCTTTCAGCACTCACTTTTAAGACTAATTCCTTTTATTGTGGAAGTGCAGAAATATTAACTGGCAGTCTTAATTTTGTAAACATATCATGCCATCAAGAAACGATTCTGTCATCTGCTCCAAAGAGTGGAACCATATCATTAGATAAATAATTATCGCCTAGCATCTAGGAGACTGGACAAGCATTCATTTGAATGTCTTTGTGAAGCATGCAATCTGTTTTTAAGGCAACTGAATCACTTGGAACGCTAGGGGCAAATGATGCACTGTTCTAAAATGCATATATTAATTGATAAGCAAATAATTCCAGGTAGATTGTCATAGTCACTATCAAGATGTAGGTAGTTAATTTTCAACAGTCCATGAGTCATATGTGCATATTATCGTCATTTATTTATTTGTATTATGGTAGTGCTTAGAGGCCCCAATCAGGACCCCAGTGTGTTAAGCAGTGTATACACCCTTAAAGAAAACCTAATCCCTGCTGAAAAAGTTTACAATCTAAGTAGATTGTATTAATAAATCACCTTCCAATCCTGGCATTCATGTTTACTCCTTATTCTTGTGTCCTGATTGACACTGTAAATTGTTTAAAAAAGCAGAGCTTCCTACAGTGACATCAGACTTCTATCTCTGGTATAATTTAGTTCCATTATGAGATTGGTCATTATAAACTTTTTTTAAAATCAACCTTATAGGTATTAAAAAAAAAAAGTGAACCTTATGCTCTAAATAGATAGTAAATAGGCAGCACTGAGTCTGAATGCTAGGCAGATACTGTCCTACATTTATATGAATTTGGCTGAACAGGCATCTGCTCTAGTGATTTCAGACTGGTTTATGAATGTGTGGGCTGGGACTTAGAGACCTTCAGTGACACCCTATCCACATGTCAGAACAATGGGACCAGATTAGCAGCGTGAATAACTTGACATTATCTGAACTCTGAGACATCAGCAGGCCAAGTCTGTTTCCGTACGGGGAACAGCACAATGTCACTCTGACAGAGCTTTACAAATAAATAAAATGATGTTTCTTAATATATTGGAAAGGCAGTTTAATTTGTTACTTCCATTTGAATTATAACTGCCTTTCTTTGCTGAAACAAGAATATATTACCAGCCAGGCCTATTAAATGGATGATGTAGCCCACAGGTCCTAAAACCTTTTCATAGTGTGGACTGTATTTTTTTAGGGAGCCATCTTGGGGACTACCTTTTCTTGTCCTCCTCCCCTGCTGCCAAACTGGGACCCCCATTCTTCAAAATCTGTTCTCCACACCATTACATTCAAAGCCAATTCCACCCCATATTATTTAACATTTACATTGCATTAGCAGCTAAGGCCCACAATCAGGTGGGGACTCCCATTGTGTTTGGCATTGTACAAACATATAATAAATGATAGTCCCTGCCTCAAAAAGCTTAGCATCTAGAAGACAAGACATAACAGGTGCTGAACTAAACAAGCAGGCCCGGGTGGCAAGGGGCAGATGGGGTAACATAAATATAAGAGGATGTGCAAATTCTCAGCCTGTCAGGAGTAGTGATCACAGTTCTCCACTTACCAAGCCGTTATCAGGTTTGCAGTTTACCATCATTTCCTCACCCTCCTCACAGTTTCCCTTATCCCAGAACAAATAAAAAAAAAAATCTCCACTCCCAGAGGATTAATTTCCCCTCCACAATGAACGTCAGTTTTCCCCAGTGATATTCAGTGCACACCTGGAATCAAATCCATTCCCCCCAGCTGAATCTCAGTTTGCTTCAAACAATTGTCCATCAGGTGACCTGGCCTCCTCCCACCAGAAGCACTTTCCAGGATCCCACTCCGCCGTCACAAGTCCCCACCATGCTCCATCCCCTTTGTTCCCTTCAGTGTTCCCTCCCTCTAATCCTATCCTCTTCTCCAGCAGTCACATTTCTCCATGTTGCTTCTCCTATTCCCGCCACAGACCACAATTTAAGGCAGGAGTCTCAAACAGGCGGCCCGGGGGGTTATTTTCTTCGGCCCGCGAGCTCCTCCCGCCCCCCGCGTTTACCTAGAGCGGCTCGGGCCTGACGCGCAGCAGGGGCAGGGCAGGCTCCCTGCCTGTCTGCTTGCCCTGAGCCCCATGCTGCACCTTGCACTCTGACCCCCTGCTCTGAACCCCCTGCTCCACTCCACACAGCTCCCCCCACTGCCCTGAGTCCCCTGCCGCACCCTGACCCCCTGCCGCACCCCTCACCCCTCCTGCATCCCAGACCCCAACTCCCTGCCCTGAGCCCCTGCCACACCCCTCTTGTACCCCCTGGGGGAAGGGAGGGGTGGGGATTTTGGGGAAGAGGTTGGAATGGGGGCAGGGAATGGGCAGGGCCTCATGGAAGGGGTTGAGTCGGGGCGGGGCTGAGGGCAGCACGGGGGGAGGTGTCAGTAATGCGGCCCTTGGGCCAATGTACTAGTTCTCATGTGGTCCTTGTCGTCATTTGAGTTTGAGACCCCTGATTTAAGGGCTCTCCAGAGCACAGTTTGGGAACTTCTGATCTAATCTTTTGTTAATAACAGTGATTTAGGGTGAATTTGTGCCTCTCTGGATTTCTCTTAAGAGGAAAAACTCTGTTTTTTCAGTTGTTTGTATTTGCTGCATCTTGGTACAATAATCCCATTTCTGATTATTTTAGTAGCAGCTCTCTATCATCCATTTTAATATGTTATGACAGCACAGTTGGGTGCCCTCCACCCACAAGCTTTGCTATATCAGTTCCAGTTTCCTTAGCAAGCGTCTGTCCAGGCTCCATTTTTTCCAAAGCATGGCTGTTTTTAGTTGATGTAGTCAGGATGTAAACTAGTTGTTCGTTGTAGCTATACAAATTATGTCTCAGAAATTGCTGCTGTGGACTTCAAGAATGCAGGTGTACATCTGCCAAGTCCAACAAGTTACTCAGCTTTTAAACTATAGAACAAGAAAATCCAGTAACCAAGTGACAGGCAATTAAGAGCAAGCAAACTCTCTAACCTACATTTGAATCCAGCTGTGCATAACAGCATAATCACTGCTGCCGAAAATGATAGTGCTAGAATAACTCTTAGTGTAGGTGATGTAATATGTTGTTTTTTGTTGAAAGCTTATAGACAGAATTTATTTTTGTTTTATGTATCTCCTATAGAGAAAGAGACAATCTTTTAGCATCTCTCCTTGTTGCATCAGGAAAGTTTCAGACTTAAATATGTTCCCTCTTTCAATATATTTAATATAATATAAATATTGAAGTTAATTTAAATTCTTGTTAAACTGGCTTATTAAATAAAATATAGTAAACATTTAAAAAAAACGTAAGTACTAAATGTGCTTGAATTTTAGTGCCAGACACACTAAATTCATATTATGTGTGTCAGACACACACACACACACACAGTTCAGCATGGACTTGAGGTTGTTAGGGGAGTGCAACAAGGGTCACTATTACATTCTCATGACAGATCAGTGATTTTGAGGAATAAATGTGCAGCCAATTGTTGAAATGTGCTGATGACAGAAAATAGGTTGGGAAGGAGAAAGGAAGGTGCAGTCAGAATAAAGAGAGGAGATCAAAGTTCAGAATTAAACAGATTAGAAGTCTACTGAGATAAGCTGTTAATGCAATTTATTATACTGAAACCTAAAATAATCTGGCCACGGACAATCAATATTTCGTATGAATGCATAAAATGCTGTGACACTCCCCTAACCACCTCAGTCCACACTGAACAGTTTATGGGCACCAAAGTACCCTCCTTTATCTTTTATATCCAAGCTATTTTTATTGTTTATACAGTGCCATAAATGTGTATGGTGCCTTATGGATAATTAACATTGGCATTTCCTGTAACAAAGAGCTTAATTATTTCTCCATTTACATGGACAGAAATTTTATAGGCACCTAAATGTAGCCACTCTTCAAAAAATTTCCCCACCCTGTTATTTTTCGAGGCATAGCCTGTCATTTTTTAGCACTCTTTAATGTGGCAAACCCACCCATGACTTGCATGAGCAACTAAAACCCCACAGTGCTGGAGGAGTTTGTGTGAGCATGTTTGGGTGACTGACTTGAAGTGGGACTTAAGCCCTACAACTTCTGCCCTCGTTCCCATTTGGGAGATTGTTCCCAGGGGAAGAGGAAGGCAAGCTGAACTTCATGCATTTGTGTGTGTGAGATGTGAACTATTTGTGGCTGGGAGCTAAGGATGGATCTGGAATTGCGTGTAGTGAATGGTGGAATCCAGATGTAGTCAGGACTGGATGTGTGCAGGGGAGGAGTAGAAATGGCTAGTTCTCTGGGAATTGTGGTGTGGCAGAGAGGTGTGATTGAGAACTACTGGGGTACAGGGTGGGAATTGGGAATTGCTGAGAAAGTTGAGAAGGAAGCAGGGGGTCTGTCAGAACTTGCTGCTGAGACAGGAGGATAAACAGAGGGGGTGGAAATGTACTGGACTTTCCTCTGGGGTTGGGAGGTAAACTGGAGGAAATAGGGTCTTGTAATGGAGTGGGGCTATTAGAACTTGCTGAGTAGCTGTGAAATGCATGATGGGAGCTGCTAGAGAGAATCTAAGGGAAGGAGCATTTTGGAATTATAGCGCTGGGTAGCCTAGAGTGATCAGAAGTTGTAAGTGGAGGTGGAAAATAAGGAGGCAGACTCTGCTGGGGGAAATAGGGACATGCTAGGGAGCAGGGAGGTAAGATATGGCATGGATTTGCCTGGATTCTTGCTGCTTGTGGACTAATGGAAGCAGATGCTAGGCAAACGGGGTGGAGAAAAAGATGCAGTGTGTTGAAACAGAAGCAGCAATTCAGTTAAGTGGGTGCAGTAAGGTAACCAAACCCAATAAACTTCTATTTGTTTTTACGAAAGTGTGGAAACACAGCCCAAACTTTTATTATTTTATTTTGAAAACAAGTGTTTCCTTCTAATATTCAGCCTACAATGTTTTGTCTAATGCCAGTGTTCTAAATTCTTCAAAAAACAAACAAACAAAATGTGTGTGTGGTGGGGAGGTGATATAGTGGAAATCCTGACAGAGCGTTAACTTCTATAGCATTCTGAATAGTGTGGTATAAGGCCTCCTCTAACTTACATGGCCAAATGCCAATGTGACAGCTAATACATACTTGGCTGCTGAAAGTTCAGACTCAGGGGACCACTGTGTGGAGGAAGGAGAGGGGGAATATGCCAAAGAAGGAAAGCTGTGCTAACGCTAAGTATATAACATGCTAAACAGCCAGTGAAGTAAAAGGTACAGTATGACTGACTTTAAAAGAAACATTGTATAAATATATCCCTATAAGAAACAGTTGTGCAGAGTTTGTTTGGACCAAGTTGTTCATGGTCTGGTGTGATATAATGAAGATTTTCTCATATTAGGGATGTGTGTGTGTTGGTTGTTCTTTTATTATTTTTATAACAATTCAAATTTTTACAAAAGTAGATTTTTTGGTCATTTTGCCTCTTTCCATTTCAGTGATAAATGATGACAAATTGAAATAACAGGGAGGTTAATATGTTTAGGTATCCCAAACAAAATATAAGTTTGGGCAAATGGCACATGTGGGTGTAGAGGGGAGGCGGGCGTTGACAACTGAATTTGCGGGGCAGGAGGAGAGAGAGAGAAAAGGGTGTCCAACACTCCCCTTGCTTCCTTTTTAAGAATAAAACTAGGACATGGTGCAGTACAGGGCTGAGTGAGAGAGGAAAATATACATATTGTTCTGCCTCCTTCTGGCTTTTTCTCTGTCATAGCCTTTTTACAGTATTTTTACTCTCTATCTGCAGCCCCATCGTCTTTATTTATGATAGGGGGAGGGATATCTCAGTGGTTTGAGCATTGGCCTGCTAAACCCAGGGTTGTGAGTTCAATCCTTGAGGGGGCCACTTAGGGATCTAGGGCAAAATCAATACTTGGTCCTGCTAGTGAAGGCAGGGGGCTGGATTCGATGACCTTTCAAGGTCCCTTCCAGTTCTAGGAGATAGGATATCTCCATTATTTAAAAAAAATTGTGTATTATATATACAATATGTAAACCCCCTGCTCAAAGTACTGCCTCTTTTTCCTGCTCTTGTCTCTTCCTCTATCACTCCTGTCTGCTCCTTTTCTTATTTCTTCTCTTTCCTATGACAGGTTTCAGAGTAACAGCCGTGTTAGTCTGTATCCGCAAAAAGAA